TAGGAAGTAGAATTAAATTGGTATTTTAATAATAGTAATATTCTTAGGAACACAATTAATTAATATAAAAAAAATGATTGAAGCTTTGGATTTAGATAAAGCAGAAAAAACTCAAGGTATAGATGATTAAAGCTAACTCTAATAAGGTATTTGTTTTATTATTTTCAATTAGGATTATTATTACTTAATTAGTAGAAATGGTAGTAGGCTAATGAACTATTAATTAAAAATATAAAAGACTTGGAAAAATAATTATCATTTGCAACACTCTTTTAAAGTACTTATTAATGAAATAATTTAGGTATTTCTTTATAATTAGATTATTAAAATAAAAGGGTTTTATGGATTTTTCTTAAGTTCTTAATCTGAATAATCCAATAAATCTTTATACAAGCTACTATTAATCTTTTTTGCCTAATCTCTCGTAATCATTCCTTTTGCTGGTTAATTTATTTCTATTATAATCAAATTGAATTTTAAATAGTTAATTATATCAAATATATTCAATAGGTTATGCTTTAAATGATGATAGCAAATTTAACTTAGCAGTTGAATAATGTGACAAGGTTTTGAATGCGGATCCCTAAAATCTTCATGCTTTATATAGAAAAGGTATTCATTTAATGTCAAAGTAGGGTTATCTTTAATTAACTGGAAAGAGTATGAATAGGCTATTTCATGTATTGAAAAAGCTCTTAAAAGCAATCCAAACTATAGTATATGTTATTTTATTAAAGGTATTTGCATTATTTTTATTGTAATAGGTAATTCTTTACATAATCTTAATAAATATGAAGATGCAATAAGTTGCTACGATAAAGCAATCTAGATAGATCCGAATTATGCATAAGCCTATATAAATAAGGGTTTTTATTGTTTTTATTGTAATAGGTATTTCTTTAAGAATATTGAATAAACACCAATTAGCTATAGCAAATTATGAGTTAGCAATTAAATATTGTAAAACTGATGAGGATGAATTTAAAAGAAGAATTTAGGAAATTAAAAATCAAAAATGAATATTTAAAAATATATCATTAATACATAAATAGTATAATATTGAAATGATTTTACTTAACTATCATTCTTTGCCTATTATTCTTGTATAATACTTAAGTTATATCTGAACTTATTTTAAAAGGTTTAGATTTATTTAAAACATGGATTTATCTTACTATCTTAGTAGTGAATTTAAATTCATATAATGCTTATCTAAGTATTATCTGATTCCAATTTACAATAATTGCAAGAACTATTATCTCTTTTGAATCTGGATTGTTTAAATTCTTTAACTGAGAGCAGGAATTTCAGGTAAAATATTAAAAAATTAATTCTATTTCTTATAATTTCATCATTTATTTATTATATTTATCTATAGTCTCTTTGAATAAATCTATCTTGAATTATATTAATTAAAAAGAATTAAGTCTATAACAATAATAACTCTCTAAACTATGGTCCTCTTAAGATCCCTAATGTAATCTACTACTATAAAGGTGAGACTTAATTCCATATATTTCTGGGTATTATTTTATTTTATCCAAATAATTAATATAATAATTTAAATTAATAATTACAAATGATATAGTCTTAAAAATGTAAAGTTAATTATTATAACTTTCATACTTAAATATATAGTTAGTTTATATATTAGCAAGATCAATTATCTTTAATATCCTTCAAATCCAAAATGCTGCATTTAACAACTCTCATTTTATTATTCTTCTTCCGCTTTTATTAAAAAGTATAAACATACTTGTTGAAAATCTGTCGTAGATGCTTAGAATGTAAGTTTATATAATTCATTGATATAAAGAAATAATTGTCTGATTTATTACCAAATTTAAGG